GTTTACTTTGTCTAGTTAAAATGTCATGAAATTCTGCATATAAAGCATCTAAACCAACAACAAATAAACTTGTTACATTTTCTAATTCTACAGAACTTGGATTATTCTTTTGAAAATAACGTTGAGCATTATAAAGACGATTCATTGCTTCTAAAAAATTATCTAATCCTCCAGATCCTCCTGGACCAGCTCGCACTGTAACTTCTACTTCTTGACAGACTCCATAATATCCAATAGCATGATCTAGAGCATTCAATGTCATTTCAATATCTGTAAAGAAAATGATATTTATATTTTTAAAATTTAAATTATTTATATAATTAGAAGTAATAAATATACAAAATATTTTGGAAATAATGGAAGACATTACATATGACTAAATTATCAGGAAAGATTAAATTAATCTTTTTGGGGGGGTCTTATTTTTTTAATATATTTAATATTTCTATTTAAATATAATAGAATTTTCCATCCTTATTTAAATAGAAATAATAGCAAAATTAACAAAAAAAGTGCAAAACATAAAATATTAATTTTTGACTAAAGAAACATTAATTTGGAGTTCTTTATTTTTTTAGTTTCTTAAATTCGTAGTGATAATAGTTATTGATTCAATAATCCATTACATTCATAAAATAAAAAGTCATAAAATAATGAGATTTTCAGAAATCATAATACAAATTGCCAATTATTCATTGGATTATATGAATGTATTCATTGTTTTATATTTTATGAAAAAATTTTGTCATTTATATATCTATTTATATTTTACATTATATACATTACATATATTACATTACTAGTAACTATTAGAATACAAATTGTAAACAAAAATCAAATTTCTTATCTCCACATTTTTAAATTTTTAAATTTTTTATTTCTCAAATAATTCTCATCAAATTCTAATATTGATAGTTATAATGATAATAATGATAATGATGATAATGATAATGATGATAATGATAATGATAATAATAATAATGATAATAATGATAATAATGATAATAATGATAATAATGATAATAATAATGATAATGATGATAATAATAATGATAATGATGATAATAATAATGATAATGATGATAATAATAATGATAATGATGATAATAAT